TGGAAGATCTCACAGTGCCGAGCTCTGAGCGGACAGGAGTTCAAAGAGTAAACACTGAAACTCGATACTGCAATACTTTTATTGTTTTATGAACATTTCACAATGTGCCTCTTCGCTGGTCACTTTATCAGAAACGGCTATAATTCTGTTATATGAAATATCTATCTCTCACATTTTCCTTTCTCTCTCCCTCTCTACGTACTCTCTTTATGTCCTCCATTATCTTCACACCTCCTCACTTGACCATCTCTCCGCTCCTCTGTACACCTCTATCTGAACCACTATGTATCTACCCCTTTATCTGACCCCCTATTTCTCTACCCCTTTATCTGAACCCCTTTGCCTCAACCCCTCTATCTGAACCCCATATTTCTCTACCCCTCTACCTGCACTCCTATGTCTCTACCCCTCTATCTGAACCCCTATGTCTCTACCCCTCTATCTGCACCCCTATGTCTCTACCCATCTATCTGCACCCCTGTCTCTCTACCTTTCTATCTGCACCCCATGTCTGTACCCTCTGTCTGCCCCCCCATGTCTGTACCCTCTATCTGCCCCCCCATGTCTGTACCCTCTATTTGCCCCCCCCATGCCTCTATCTGCACCCCATGTCTCTACCACTCTATCTGCACCCCATGTCTCTACCACTCTATCTGCACCCCTTTGTCTCTACCCTTCTATCTGCACCCCTATGTCTCTACCCTTCTATCTGCACCCCTGTGTCTCTACCCTTCTATCTGCACCCCTGTGTCTCTACCCTTCTATCTGCACCCCATGTCTGTACCCTCTATCTGCACCCCATGTCTGTACCCTCTATCTGCACCCCATGTCTGTACCCTCTATCTGCCCCACCCATGTCTGTACCCTCTATCTGCCCCCCCATGTCTGTACCCTCTATCTGCCCCCCATGTCTGTACCACTCTATTTGCCCCCATTGTCTGGACCCTCTATTTGCTTACGTAATCTGGACCCTCTATTTGCCCCCCCATGTCTCTACCACTCTATCTGCACCCCATGTCTCTACCACTCTATCTGCACCCCATGTCTCTACCACTCTATCTGCACCCCTTTGTCTCTACCCTTCTATCTGCACCCCTGTGTCTCTACCCTTCTATCTGCACCCCTATGTCTCTACCCTTCTATCTGCACCCCTATGTCTCTACCCCTCTATCTGCCCTTCTTTGTAACAACCTCAATTCTACCACCTTCCTCTCATCCTTCTTTCTTTTGTCCCCCATTTCCACCCATTTATCTCGACCCTGATGCTGGCCTGGCAGCACTGGAGGGCAGAGGTAGGTTCCTGTCTGGTATCTTTCTTTTCTTTCCATTCCCCTTGTGCTGTTGTTTACACATGGCTGACAACCCCAAATTCCTCTTCTCTGCTTTTGTTGAAAATAATTTTAATATTGTACTGGCATGAGATGGCATGATGCCCATGCAGGGGTTGTGTGTTAAATAACCAGAACCTTGTTAAAAGAGACATACTGACACTGAGCATGGCACGAGTGACTCCACGATATAGCAGTTTCACCCATGACATTTGGGAGAGAGCTTGCCTATGTGGGTGGGGGGGACGGTGGTAGAGTGTCTGTCTGTTGGTTGTAGGCATGTAGAGTGTCTGTGATAGGTAGGTAGAGAGCCTGTCTGAGGTAGGTAGAGAGCCTGTCTGAGGTAGGTAGAGAGCCTGTCTGAGGTAGGTAGAGAGCCTGTCTGAGGTAGGTAGAGAGCCTGTCTGAGGTAGGTAGAGAGCCTGTCTGTGGTAGAGAGCGTGTCTGTGGTAGGTAGGTAGGTAGGTAGAGTGCCTGTCTGTGGTAGGTAGGTAGAGTGCCTGTCTGTGGTAGGTAGGTAGAGTGCCTGTCTGTGGTAGGTAAGTAGGTAGGATGAGTTTCTGTCTGTGGTAGGTAAATAGGTAGGATGAGTGCCTGTCTGTGGTAGGTAAGTAGGTAGGTAGAGTGCCTGTCTGTGGTAGGTAGGTAGGTAGAGTGCCTGTCTGTGGTAGGTAGGTAGAGTGCCTGTCTGTGGTAGGTAAGTAGGTAGGATGAGTTTCTGTCTGTGGTAGGTAAGTAGGTAGGTAGGTAGAGTGCCTGTCTGTGGTAGGTAGGATGAGTGCCTGTCTTGCAGAGAGAGTGTAAATTAACCAAGTGAGTTTGGTTAAGTGGAACTCGCTGCCCAGTGTCTTCATGAGTCTGCGAAGCGGGAAAAGAGAGCAGATCCCGTGACGTCCCGGAATATTCCTGTCCTCCAGCTGTGACTAACACAGCGTCCCTGCAGCAGAACACACACACAGGAATGCAGTGGTTTCATGTTTTCCATATGTTTGGTGGTGGAGGGGTGTGAGTGGGTTGGTGCCCAGAATACACTGGCTCATTATACAGGGCGTCCATCACGTCCTGATTTACTGCCCATACAGACAGAGCCGTTCCCAGCCAGGTATTAACCCCCAGGGCACGCAGGGCTCTGGGTACAGCTTTCCCCGTGTACAGCCCAGGACTGACGCTGGGATATAGCTGCCGATACAGACAGAGCTGTTCCCATCCAGGAATTAACCCCTGGGGCTCACAGGGCTCTGGGTACAGCTTTCCCCATGTACAACTCGGGACTGACGTGTAGCTGCCGATACAACTCGGGACTGACGTGTAGCTGCCGATACAGCTAGCTTGTCAATATCAATCCTGAATTAACCCCTGGGGCTCGCAGGGTTCTGGGTACAGCTTTCCCCATGTACAGCCTGGTGACTGACGTTGGGATATAGCTGCCGATACAGACAGAGCCATTTCCAGCCAGGAATCCCCCCCCCCCCTCCTCTGGGGTTTGCAGTGCTCTGGGTACAGCTTTTTCCCATGTACAGCCCGGGACTGACGTGAAGATATAGCATATAGTGCCTACTGTCTATTGAAGTGCTCGGCTGCTAACAGGTTATAGTGTGCAGGATTTGTGTCCCTGTCTGGCTACGTTTTATTGAGACACATGGGGTTAGTACACCTATCTCTATGCAATAAGGTGATAAGCGGTGCTGGGTGAGGTCACATTCCATATAAAAGGTTAAATTCTGCTGTGCCAGAGCTCACAGGGCATTAAATGTCATAAACGTTAGTGCCAGTGCTTAACCCTTACTGAGTGGAAGGAGTTACAGCTGCAAATAATCTCATAAGCTCCATGTTGCCCTCGATGGTGGGGTCTGACCAGTATGGGGGTCCGGTGATTGTAAATATCACCAAAGATAATGTGTAGGTTTTATGGAAGTTACTGAGGGGGTGCGAGCGATGCTCAGGCAGTGTATTAACATGTGTGGTATATGGGGCAGGCTGGATGGATGTAGATTGGCGGGTGGAGTATGACAGGTAGGGTATTGGTGCAGGGGTTTGGCAAACAGGGCATTGGGAGACGAGGTTACTGTTCTCACTGATGTTTTATTGTATGTCATGGTTGGAGTCCCTGCTTGAATGTTGGTGTCTGTGAGAATCCCTTGAAATGTTTAGTTAAAACTGGATTGATTGATAAGCTACAAATCATCACGTACTAAAGTTGCTGATCCTATTGTACAGCTCTGCAGAACATGGTGGCACCTTTATTAATTATAGTCAGTCATAAAATGCTGCAACCGGCTAGTCCTATCTCAGTGGTGAACTTTGATAAGAGAACCTGTTATTACGGCATTGTTCTTGTTTATTATCATGCGTGTTTTGGGGTACAGGGAACCCTGGGGTTTGCATTGTAGGGGTTCTTGTCTGACTGTGCAGAGTTAATAATCTCGTATTGTTCTCAGGCCCAGCGTCATGTGAACGATTTGTATGAAGATTTGCGAGATGGACACAATCTCATCTCGCTCCTGGAGGTGTTATCCGGAGAGACCCTGGTAAGTGAGGTCTACACCGCGCCACGTAATCCTGGAGCGCAGCTTCTGCAGGGCTGAATGTCCTCTCCTTACGGTCTCACTACTAACCTCCTTCAATCTGCTTTCTCTCTCTCAGCTTTTGCTACTCACTTCTGTCCTCTGACCCCATGAGCCCACGGAATAACATTACTTTATAACTAACCACTAATTATTCAAATTATTTTTCACAACATTTTACGTTTTCCTTATGAAAGTTTGCCTGTTCCTTTTTTCCCACTTTAAGTGCTGGCTCCCGAGTCTGCTCTGTCTCCCCTAAAACCCTTTATTGTCAAATAGTGGGGTACAGTGTGTATTCACAGCTATTAATGTCACTGTGCCAGGGCCATACAGTGTATAGTCACAGCTATTAATGTCACTGTATCGCCCATACAGTGTATAGTCACAGCTATTAATGTCACTGTATCAGGGCCATACAGTGTATAGTCACAGCTATTAATGTCACTGTATCAGGGCCATACAGTGTATAGTCACAACTATTAATGTCACTGTCCCAGGGCCATACAGTGTATAATCACAGCTATTAATGTCACTATATCGCCCATACAGTGTATAGTCACAGCTATTAATGTCACTGTATCAGGGCCATACAGTGTATAGTCACAGCTATTAATGTCACTGTATCAGGGCCATGCAGTGTATAGTCACAGCTATTAATGTCACTGTGCCAGGGCCATACAGTGTATAGTCACAGCTATTAATGTCACTGTATCGCCCATACAGTGTATAGTCACAGCTATTAATGTCACTGTATCGCCCATACAGTGTATAGTCATTAATGTCACTGTCCCATGGCCCTGCAGTGTATATTCACAGCTATTAATGTCACTGTGCCAGGGCCATACAGTGTATAGTCACAGCTATTAATGTCACTGTATCAGGGCCATGCAGTGTATAGTCACAGCTATTAATTTCACTGTGCCAGGGCCATACAGTGTATAGTCACAGCTATTAATGTCACTGTATCAGGGCCATACAGTGTATAGTCACAGCTATTAATATCACTATATCGCCCATACAGTGTATAGTCGCAGCTATTAATGTCACTATATCGCCCATACAGTGTATATTCACAGCTATTAATGTCACTGTGCCAGGGCCATACAGTGTATAGTCACAGCTATTAATGTCACTGTATCGCCCATACAGTGTATAGTCGCAGCTATTAATGTCACTGTCCCAGGGCCATGCAGTGTATATTCACAGCTATTAATGTCACTGTATCAGGGCCATGCAGTGTATAGTCACAGCTATTAATGTCACTATATCACCCATACAGTGTATATTCACAGCTATTAATGTCACTGTATCAGGGCCATACAGTGTATAGTCACAGCTATAAATGTCACTGTATCAGGGCCATGCAGTGTATA